TTCCATGTATAATACATACGGGGGATATGATCACCATGTATAATACATAAGGGGGATATGATCACCATGTATAATATTTACATAAGGGGGATATGATCACCATGTATAATACATAAGGGGGATATGATCTCCATGTATAATACATAAGGGGGATATGATCTCCATGTATAATACATAAGGGGGATATGATCTCCATGTATAATACATAAGGGGGGATATGATCTCCATGTATAATACATAAGGGGGGATATGATTTCCATGTATAATACATAAGGGGGGATATGATCACCATGTATAATACATAAGGGGGATATGATCTCCATGTATAATACATAAGGGGGGGATATGATCTCCATGTATAATACATAAGGGGGATATGATCACCATGTATAATACATAAGGGGGATATGATCTCCATGTATAATACATAAGGGGGGATATGATCTCCATGTATAATACATAAGGGGGATATGATCTCCTTGTAGAATACATAAGGGGGGGATATGATCGCCATGTATAATACATAAGGGGGGATATGATCGCCATGTATAATACATAAGGGGGGATATGATCTCCATGTATAATACATAAGGGGGGATATGATCACCATGTATAATACATAAAGGGGGATATGATCTCCATGTATAATACATAAGGGGGGATATGATCTCCATGTATAATACATAAGTGGGGAAATGATCTCCATGTATAATACATAAGTGGGGGGATATGATCTCCATGTATAATACATAAGGGGGATATGATCACCATGTATAATACATAAGGGGGGATATGATCTCCTTGTATAATACATAAGGGGGGGATATGATCGCCATGTATAATACATAAGGGGGGATATATGATCTCCATGTATAATACATAAGGGAGGAAATGATCTCCATGTATAATACATAAGGGGGGGATATGATCATCGTGTATAATACATAAGGGGGGATATGATCACCATGTATAATACATAAGGGGGGATATGATCACCATGTATAATACATAAGGGGGGAAATGATCTCCATGTATAATACATAAGGGGGGGGGGATATGATCATCGTGTATAATACATAATGGGGGGGATATTATCACCAATGTATGATAGATAAGGGGGGATATGATCTCCATGTATAATATATAAGAGGGGGATATGATCTCCATGTATAATACATAAGGGGGGGGATATAATCCCCATGTATAGTATATAAGGGGGATATGATCTCCATGTATATAAATATAAGGGGGGATATGATCTCCAATGTATAATACATAAGTGGGGGGATATAATCCCCATGTATAATATATAAGGGGGGATATGATCTCCAGGTATAAAATATAAGGGGGGATATGATCTCCATGTATAATACATAAGGGGGGATATGATCTCCATGTATAATACATAAGGGGGGATATGATCTCCATGTATAATACATAAGGGGGGATATGATCTCCATGTATAATACATAAGGGGGGATAATGATCTCCATGTACAATACATAAGGGGGGATATGATCACCATGTATAATACATAAGGGGGGGATATGATCTCCATGTTATAAATACATAAGGGGGGGATATGATCTCCATGTATAATACATAGGGGGGGGATATGATCTCCATGTATAATACATAAGGGGGGATATTATCTCCATGTATAATACATAAGGGGGGATATGATCTCCATGTATAATACATAAGGGGGGATATGATCTCCATGTATAATACATAAGGGGGGATATGATCTCCATGTACAATACATAAGGGGGGATATGATCACCATGTATAATACATAAGGGGGGGATATGATCTCCATGTATAATACATAAGGGGGGATATGATCTCCATGTATAATACATAAGGGGGGGATATGATCTCCATGTATAATACATAAGGGGGGGATATGATCTCCATGTATAAATACATCAGTGGTTCATATAGTGAACTTGTAGAGTTATTCACCCTGAGGTCATCACAGAGGACAAGGGGGCACTCTTTATGTCTGGAGGAAAAGAAATGTAATCTCCAAACTTGGAAAGGTTTCTTCACTGTGAGAGCTGTGAAAATGTGGAATAGACTCCCTCAAGAGTTGGTTCTGGCCAGCTCAGTGGATTGATTCAAAAAAGTCCTGGATTGTTTCCTAGATACACAGAATATAACTGGTTTTTTAAAATTTATAGGTAAAGTTGATCCAGGGAATATCCGATTGCCTCTCAGGGGATCAGGAAGGATTTTTTTTCCCAGCAGGAGCAAATTGGATCATGCTTTGCTGGGTGTTTTGCCTTCCTCTGGATCAACTGTGGGTGTATCTTTGACAGATACGCACTTCCTTAATCCTTGCCTAGGTGAGGATGATGTCAATTTGACCTCCCCCTTCTGCCCGCAGTCTTCTGTGATATGTCACAGGAGGCAGAAGGACCATTCTTACTACACTGCCATGTCTCACACATGTACAGCAGGGAGCCGGCTATGAGAAATCAGAAGTCATAGCCAGCTGCCAAATCCAAGATGGCGGTGCCAGAAACCTAAACCAGTGAAGAATCGGCTACAAGGAAGACAGCACTGGACTTCATGGGCTGGTAAGTGTCTGTTTCTTAAAAGTGTGCAGCAACAGTATTTGTAGCTGCTGACTTTTTTTTTTTTTTTACAAAACAGCTAAAGTTTTCTCTTTAACGAAGGATTAAAATACATACATTACAGCTATATCTCCTGCCAAAGGATTTGTAATGCTGTCCATCCAGTCCTGAGATTTACAGAGCTCAGCCAGAAGACACACTAAGGGCTCGTTCACACTTGACTTTATTTCTAACTCTTGCTAAACGCCCCTACAGCGTTTGACAGGCATTAGACAGGCGTTTGGGAAGCGTTTTTAACGCTCCTCAAACGCTCCCCAAACGCCCCATGCATGAGGCGATTGATAGGCGTTTGCCAAGCGTTAAAACCGCACCACAAACTCCTATAATGAAGTTAAATGGTATTAGTGCTCCGCAACCACCTCGCAAACATGTCGCAACTGTGTCAGGCATTAGACAGGCGTTTGGGAAGCGTTTTTAACGCTCCTCAAACGCTCCCCAAACGCCCCATGCATGAGGCGATTGATAGGCGTTTGCCAAGTGTTAAAGGGCTCGTTCACACTTGGCTGTTTTACCAACGCTTGCCAAACGCCCCTATAGCGTTTGGCAAGCGTTGGTCCGGCGTTTGTGGGGCGTTATTAACGCTCGGCAAACGCTCCGCAAACGCCGCATGCGCGGTTTAGTGGCGGTTGCTAGGCGTTTGCCAAGCGTTAATAACGCCCCACAAACGCCTATAATACAGTTTGAGTGGTGTTACCGCTCCGCAAACGCCCCGCAAACGCGTCGCAACCGCACCGCAAACGCCGGCCGGGCGTTTGCGGAGCGGCACCATAGACGAGAATAGGAGGCTTCAAAGCCTCCTGACTCGACCAGAGGCGTCCGTTTTGCCGCGACGCAACGCGACGCGACGCAAACGCTCCCGTTAGAACAGCACCATGTGCTGTAATGTGCAGAATTGGCAGAGGTGTTTGGGAAGCGGTAAAAACGCTTCCCAAACGCCTCTCTGCCGCCTGCACACAAGGCTAGTGTGAACGTAGCCAAAACCGCACCACAAATTCCTATAATGAAGTTAAATGGTATTAGTGCTCCGCAACCACCTCGCAACCGTGTCGCAACTGCGTCGCAAACGCCTGCCAGGCGTTTGCAGAGCAGCACATTAGACTTGAATGGGAGTCTTCAACTCCTCTTGACTTAATATGAGGCGTCAGTTTTGCTGCGACGCAATGCGACGCTAACGCTTCCATGTGAACAGCATTGAGTGCTGCCATGTGCAGAATGTTTTTTAAAAACGCTTCCCAAATGCCTGTCTGATGTCTGCTGACAAGGCTAGTGTGAATGTAGCCTAATGGTTGGTGACCTGACTTTTCTGTAGTGCAAATAGGCTATACAGATAGGTCACCTCCCAGCTCCCTGGCAGTGGCTGCTGAACAGAAAATGAGCAGCAGCAAACGCATGAGGTTACCTTTCTGCTCCTGTCAGCAGGTGTAAAAAGCAGGAAAGATTGATGGGGGGGACATCGCTGTACTGGGGTTTACATGTAACATAATGAGACAGATCTAGACACTTCTGATACATAAATACATCTATTAGTCTTTAAGCAAATACCTAACTGCTTCCACTGGTGCCTGGAGTTCTGATTTTAATTGACAAGCAACACAAAGATTTAGACACAAGCCGTGATTAGAACAAACGTCTGCAACAATCTCTAAAATTCCGGGGGATATTCCTCTTGTCTAGCATTGCCACCTGGTGTTCATAACTGGTAAATGTGAATGGGATGTAAACCGAGGCTATAGGACTCGTTGGGTTTTGGCCAACCTAGGCATCACGAACCAGTTCAGTGAGTCACTATGGACCAAATGCAGAAATGACTTGAAGAGTGAAGGATACAGTGGGGGTTTTCAGGAATAAAAGTATATCTGTATGTGTCATACGGTGTACAGTAAACTTTTTAAAGCTTCAGGGTTTATACTCTGCCAGGAATTCTGGAGCAGTTGCAGCGACAGTTTGTTTGCTGCCTTGTCCGCCAATATCCTCCAAAGTAGTTCCATGTAATAGAAAAAGTATTATACTTACCTTTCCGGCATATCGTGTTTCCTATTGTCTCTCCATTGAACTGTTACAGTCTCCATCAAAATCTTCAGCAGTCAACACTTGTGGGAATGTCGGATGCCTGTGTTCCCCACCAGGGGCGGACTGACCATTTAGAAACTCAGGCACGGGGTCAGTAGGGGGCCTCATGAGATGCCCCTGGTACCTTTTTCATAGGCTTTTTTGAGTTTGGGCAAGGACACAGGGGCCCCATGATCCCCTATTGCCTGGGGGCCCCATGAGTTGTCAGTCTGCCCCTGTTCCCCACCCACACACTGTGGTTCCATCCACTGGCCTCTACTTCACTACAGGTCAGGAGAGGTTAGTAGAAACCAGGGGCGGACTGACCATTTGGAAACTCAGCACTGCCCGAGGGCCTGGGGTCAGTAGGGGGCCCCATGAGATGCCCCTGGTACCTTTTTCATAGGCTTTTTTGAGTTTGGGCAAGGACACAGGAGCCCCATGATCCACTATTGCCCGGGGGCCCCATGAGTTGTCAGTCCGCCCCTGGTAGAAACCCTCTTTTATCTCAGGTAAACACGTAGGGGAATTTTGGGGGGTAGCAACTCAGTGTCCCTTTAAAGACGTAAAGCTTATCTAAAACCAAACATTTAGTTTTGGAAAGAGTGACAATAGCTTAGAAGCTCTGTTGGCATTTTAAAGCTTGGCCATAAACATTTTGGCAAAGTGCTGGATCTAATAATGGACAAAATAGTCCTTGAGGTCTCAATTCCAAAGGGCGTTCTGTTATAGTACCTCCAGGACCAGGAGTGGACTGACCATTTGGAAATTCGGCACTGCCCGAGGGCCCGGGGTCAGTAGGGGGCCCCATGAGTTTCAGTGGGAGGAATAGTGTCCCATCGTTGCGTATGCCCCTGGTACCTTTTTCATAGGCTTTTTTGAGTTTGGGCAAGGACACAGGGGCCCCATGATCCCCTATTGCCCGGGGGCCCCATGAGTTGTCAGTCTGCCCCTGTCCCGGACTACCAGGACTTCTAGAATTCCAACCAGTACTTCAATGGTATGCACATAATCTTTGCCAGTACTTCCAGTGGTGCTCGCAGAATCCTTGCCAGGACTTTCAGAACTATCTGAAACAATGCTGGGTGTATCCTCACCCCCAAAGGGTATACAAGGGTGGTGAAATTTTTGAAAAAAATACTTGTTTAGGGAACTAAATCGGTGCCCCAATCCACTTGTCCAGATGAAAAAGAAAAAAATCTATTTTAACCGAAACCGTATTTAACCCCCCTGGCGGTATTCCCGAGTGTAGCTCGGGGTTAACTTTCAGTACCAAAAGCGGTAAACTCGAGCTACACTCGGGAATACACTGCAGCGTTGCTCCGGGATCCCTCCATCACTTACCTTGTCCTGCACTCCGGCGATGTCGTCCCTGCAGTGTCCCCTGTAACAGCGGTTCTCAACCTGGGGGTCGTGACCCCTTTGGGGGTCGAACGACCATTTCCCAGGGGTCGCCTAAGACCATCGGAAAACACATATTTCCGATGGTCTTAGGAACCGAGACACCGCTCCTCTGTCTCAGGCGATCTGTGGACGGGATGATATGCTGCCCCTGTCACCTGGCCACACCTCCGGGATCACTCAACAGCTCCGCCTCCTCGCCGCTGATTGGCCACCAGAACTGTAGCTCAGGAGAGGCACACAGGCGGCCAATCACCGGCGAGGAGGTGGAGCTTGGAGAGGAGGGGCCGAGCGTCAGTGCGCGTAGATCAAAGAAGATCGAGGGAGCTGCAGGAGCGAGTGAGGAGAGTGGCCAGAGAAGGAAGACAGCTGACAGGTAAGTGCAAATTTTGCTGCTGCAACCAGGTATGCAGGCTGTAGATGGGAGAGGGAGAGAGCGAGCCCAGGCTGGAGCAGGGATCAGCAAGGTAAGTATCATTGGTGTCAGTGGAAGGGATAGTGCCCCATCATTTGTGTCACTAATACCAAGGATGGGGCACTATTCCTCCCCCCACTGACACCAACGATGGGGCACTATTCCTCCCCCCACTGACACCAACGATGGGGCACTATTCCTCCCCCCACTGGCACCAACGATGGGGCACTATTCCTCCCCCCACTGACACCAACGATGGGGCACTATTCCTCCCCCCACTGACACCAACGATGGGCACTATTCCTCCCCCCACTGACACCAACGATGGGGCACTATTCCTCCCCCCACTGACACCAACTATGGGGCACTATTCCTCCCCCCACTGACACCAACGATAGGGCACTATTCCTCCCCCCCACTGACACCAACGATGGGGCACTATTCCTCCCCCCACTGACACCAACGATGGGGCACTATTCCTCCCCCCACTGACACCAAGAATGGGGCACTATTCCTCCCCCCACTGACACCAACGATGGGGCACTATTCCTCCCCCCACTGACACCAACGATGAGGCACTATTCCTCCCCCCACTGACACCAACGATGAGGCACTATTCCTCCCAATGACACCCACAATGGGGCACTATTCCTCCCACTGACACCCACAATGGGGCACTATTACTCCCACTGACACCCACAATGGGGCACTATTACTCCCACTGACACCCACAATGGGGCACTATTCCTCCCACTGACACCCACGATGGGGCACTATTCCTCCCACTGACACCCACGATGGGGCACTATTTCCCCCCACTGACACCCACGATGGGGCACTATTCCTCCCCCCACTGACACCAACGATGAGGCACTATTCCTCCCCCCCACTGACACCAACGATGGGGCACTATTCCTCCCCCCACTGACACCAGCGATGGGGCACTATTCCTCCCCCTACTGACACCAGCGATGGGGCACTATTCTTCCCCCTACTGACACCAGCGATGGGGCACTATTCCTCCCCCTACTGACACCAGCGATGGGGCACTATTCCTCCCCCTACTGACACCAGCGATGGGGCACTATTCCTCCCCCCACTGACACCAGCGATGGGGCACTATTCCTCCCCCCACTGACACCAGCGATGGGGCACTATTCCTCCCCCCACTGACACCAACAATGGGGCACTATTCCTCCCCCCCACTGACACCAATGATGGGGCACTATTCCTCCCACTGACACCAATGATGGGGCACTATTCCTCCCACTGACACCAATGATGGGGCACTATTCCTCCCCCCACTGATACCAATGATGGGGCACTATTCCTCCCACTGACACCCACGATGGGGCACTATTCCTCCCACTGACACCCACGATGGGGCACTATTCCTCCCACTGACACCCACGATGGGGCACTATTCCTCCCACTGACACCCACGATGGGGCACTATTCCTCCCACTGACACCCACGATGGGGCACTATTCCTCCCACTGACACCCACGATGGGGCACTATTCCTCCCACTGACACCCACGATGGGGCACTATTTCCTCCCACTGACACCCACGATGGGGCACTATTCCTCCCCCCACTGACACCAACGATGAGGCACTATTCCTCCCCCCACTGACACCAACGATGGGGCACTATTCCTCCCCCCACTGACACCAACGATGGGGCACTATTCCTCCCCCCTGACTGACACCAGCGATGGGGCACTATTCCTCCCCCTACTGACACCAGCGATGGGGCACTATTCCCTCCCCCTACTGACACCAGCGATGGGGCACTATTCCTCCCCCCACTGACACCAACGATGGGGCACTATTCCTCCCCCCACTGACACCAAGAATGGGGCACTATTCCTCCCCCCACCGACACCAAGAATGGGGCACTATTCCTCCCCCCACCGACACCAACGATGGGACACTATCCTCCCACAGAAACCCACCCCCCCCCCCCACTGACACCAATGATGGGTCACTATTCCCTCCCCCTGACCCCAAAGATGGGGCACTATTCCCCCCCTCCACCACACTGACACCAATGATGGGGCACTATTCCTCCCACTGACACCAATGATGGGGCACTATTCCTCCCACTGACACCAATGATGGGGCACTATTCCTCCCACTGACACCAATGATGGGGCACTATTCCTCCCACTGACACCACGATGGGGCAGTATTCCTCCCACTGACACCCACGATGGGGCACTATTCCTCCCACTGACACCCACGATGGGGCACTATTCCTCCCACGGACACCCACGATGGGGCACTATTCCTCCCACTGACACCCACGATGGGGCACTATTCCTCCCCCCACTGACACCAACGATGGGGCACTATTCCTCCCCCCACTGACACCAACAATGTGGCACTATTCCTCCCCTACTGACACCAGCGATGGGGCACTATTCCTCCCCCTACTGACACCAGCGATGGGGCACTATTCCTCCCCCCACTGACACCAACGATGGGACACTATTCCCCCCCCCCCCCCCCCACTGACACCAATGATGGGTCACTATTCCCTCCCCCTGACCCCAATGATGGGGCACTATTCCCCCCTCCACCACACTGACATCAATGATGGGGCACTATTCCTCCCACTGACACCAATGATGGGGCACTATTCCTCCCAATGACACCCACAATGGGGGGCTAGTCCTCCCACTGCAAAATTACAGTTATGAAGTAGCAACGAAAATAATTTTATGGTTGGGGGTCACCACAACATGAGGAACTGTATTAAGGGGTCGCGGCATTAGAAAGGTTGAGAACCACTGCCCTGTAATGTCCTCCGGCCGATGCCGGCATCTGTCTTCCGGGTTCTGTTCCCTGCGAGCGTCGGGACGAACGGGGGACGGAACTGGCGGGAAATTAAAAAATTTTAAAAGTGACATTCACTAAATACACTAAAATCACATAGTATAACATTCCTGTATCAAACCATTTCACATACATTGTGTCCCGAGTGCTTTGTCCGGCGCCCTGCCTGCATTTTTACTGTTCTTTCTGCCTGGAAACTGAGAAACGTCCATGGCGTCCAAAAAGCGTCCCTTTAGATCAAAAGCGGTTTTAGACCGGCTAGAGAACAGCGATAGTAAATCAGAACCACTTGCAGAATTGAGTGATAATGATTTGTGGGGAAATTCCTCATCAGACACTGAAAACGATTCTGCGACATTGCTCAGCGATGTGCGAACTTGGCGCTATATTTCAAATTTCAGTGTTTTTGGTTTGATTATATTATTGAATTAAATGTATTATTATTATATTATTTTTTATGATTATTTATTAAATTATAATTTATGATTTTGTGTTTCAAATTTTATCATACCCGGGATGTTTACTAGACTCTTGTTCGGACAGATTTCAGTGAGTTATTCCTAAAAATTACAGGCCTACAATAAAAAAACAACATATTTCCATGCAAAAAAAGTACCGCTTTGAGCACAGAAATATTGACATAATCAGACCGCTAGGGAGGTTAAATCGGAGGTGATATTAGGAATGTCTGAGCTTTTAAAAACAAAAAGGGCTTTATGGCGACTTAAACGTGTAATATTTTTAACATTGCACTGTTATCTCCTCCTTCCATCCCTTACCAGGGATATTTTAACCCTCCTGGCGGTATTCCCGAGTGTAGCTCGGGGTAAAGTTTCAGTACCAAAAGCGGTA